TAAGACGATAGTTAAAAACACGTTGACTTCTTGTTGCCTCGTTCCTAGGGTAGCCCTTTAACACCCATGATAACAGCGGATAGGCTGGGTCCGCAAGAATTACCGGTGGTATCTCCACCCCACATATTTCCCTATTGAGGTCATCTGGGAAAAGACAGTTATCCCTTCCTTTTGCAAAAATGGCTGAGTTGGAGAAAATCCGCGCATCATGTACGCTTCCTGGCCAACCGATAACTACGTACGTCCCTGAATATATAATTACAATCTACCACAACCTGCATAAGGACGCTATGAAACCCCTTACGGTTGACATAATCTGTGTGATTTTTGTTAGGTGCCAGTATCGGTATGTGAGTTCCATCCACAGCGCCCGCACACATAGGAAAGCTCCATGTCTCTTCATAACCTCGAATGACTCGCAAAAGGTCATCACCCTTAGGGAAGCTGATAGCATGTGATGATTTGAAAACTGCTTTGCTATTGCATGACATACTTATTTATTGCACTGGCACACAAACGACCGTGAAACTTCGAATAAGTTGCCAATTGTGCGGTATTCAGCCGTGGATGCTAGATAATATAATGTAACTGCCAGCCGTCGCTTCGCTGAAACTGCTTCTCGAAGATGTATATTTTCATAAGCTATTTCGGGCTCAACCTTTCCGGCTGAGAATAAATGTAAACGTTTCTTTCGTAACTCTGAAGTTAGCATACCATAGCTCGTCGTTGTACGTGTCGCCCACCATCTCAAACCAGATCTGTGTTCGTGGGTGCATCCACAGTGTTCTAGTTCTTTTGCGATGAAAAAAGGCTAGTACAATTTCGGTGAATTCCTTTTTAAATACCTTTTCTTTTTATGTTGTGAAGCGCTATTCTACGTACACGGTTATCTTTAAATTTTGCCAAGCGTAAACGTCTCCGTTTTGTCACATAAAAATACCAAACAAGTGCCGAGTTTGCTGTTTTTACATCCTCCATTTTTTAAAATGCCCGCGAATTTTACTTTAAGAATTTAACCGCTGAAGTTTGGTTTAAGGGCGCAGTATTTAAGCGGGCCGTATTCAACAGTAGGGGTGCTAGTGCATCTTGATGGCCCGCCAAAATTTGTAGTGTAAACGATGCTGATTTTTCGAGAAAATGGTCCGCGTGCCATTTTTTAAGAGTGCCGTGCCGTAAATGAGTGCAGTGTAAACGGGGCTTAAATCTTAGCCTGCGTTAAATGGAACTGCACGTCGAGTGTGGGGTCACTGCACGACCAATTTCTCATGCATAGAAATGTTATATATTTCTGTGTAATGTCCCCTGTCAGACCATATTTCTGTGTAATGTCCGCTGGTGCATTCTTTTTACTACAAAACACGTGAACAGAGCGTTAACTTTGCACTCATTAGAGAGGTTAAGATACCCCGGTTTCGGTGTACGTGCACGGGTAGCATGATTTTGGTTAGCAATATTTTCGTCGATGTCTGTACCTTTACTCGTAATTAAGGTGCACATTTTTCGCATTATATCATTGTCTATTGCAAGAAAACAGAAAAACTATTGATCGAATAACAGACATCAGTAAAACAAGATGACACTACTCGTACCCGTACACCGAAACTGGGGTATCTTAACCTCCATTCCCCAGGGACCAACTCAACAAAAGCCATGGCGGCCATGTTGGTGTTCCAGACAAAAGAGTCTAATTAAAATTCTTTTGAATTGGGACGTCATGTTCAAACGCTCTATAGTTCTAAATTTATTACTTTTTTATTGCTAGAAGAAGAAACGAGCGAAGAAAATGATGCTGAGCTGATACTAGTAAGATAAATGACGATCCTTTATTAAATCTCCAAATATTATTATGCTGATAGAACATTGTTAAACTAATGATTACGAAAATTACGTTTTTTAATCGTGGCACATTTTGACATTTTCAATAGAATAAATGATAAAACCACAAGCATTAGACAAGAGTTTTCGCGCCGGGGTGGTGAGATCTTCAAAAAAAGTTTAATTAAGAAAGTTAAAAAAAAAGTTTAAAAAAGTAAAAAAAAGTTAAAAAAAGTTAGATTTTGAAAAAAAGTTTTAAAAAGTTAGATTAGGGTTAGGGATTAGGGGTTAGGTGCCGCGAATTTATAATATTGATAATTTCGGACGTGTTTAACAATTTACTCGTATAGTAAATTAAAAGGTGGAGCTCATGCTGGGTTTTCATAGTCGTAACGGCCGTAATTGTCGTGAACATATCAAGGTGGCGGCACTGGCCGATGTAAAAGGGTGTGAATCATTCAACGCACAAAAGACGAGATAGATCCAAACACGAAGAACAACGTAATTTTCGTGCACGTAACTATTTGACTAGATTATCAAACATTAGAATTTCCGAATAAATCCTTAAATGTTTCTTTGTTTGTAGATGAAAGGGCCCGAAGGAGATCGAGGAGACCCTGGGGAAAGAGTAAGACAAATTCTTAATTACATACACACGTCTTCTAGACTAAAAATCATTAAAAAACTTCAATTTACGTAAGGTAAAGTAGTCAGGGAATTCTAATCACAGCAAAACGAGAGGGACGAAAACGAGGGAACGCGGGGGTTTCTACTTGCACGTGTTTTCAAACCACATCAACTATACCCTATAGTCTCGTTATACCAGGCTCAATCTTGTGAGGTGGTGGTTTAGAGAGGGTTAATTGCGAATTTTCTCCTAAATACATACGCTGTTTGTTAACTTTGTTTTCTTTGTTTAGGGTGAACCTGGTTCGGATGGTTGGCCTGGCCAAAATGGTAGAAAAGGTCCCGAGGTAAAGATGCAACGAGTTCATGTGTTTTCTATTGAGGGACTTGTATATGTATAGGATCCTGTATACAATCCCGTCAATTGTATTATTCGCTGCGTATGCCTATACATTGGTTCCAGGACTCAAGATTTATCATCAAAATGACAATCAATACTGCGTATAGTAATAATGTATTGACTAATTGACGGTCAGTAAACAGTAATCAAAAAAAAATTCAAAATGTATAATTCTTTGGTCAACTCACAGCTTGCATCTTTGTCGAAAACTGAAAGCACTCGAAAATACATGTGAATATTTTCAAGATTTGTGAAGGCTCTCAATTTGGGCTCTTTCATATTTTCTTGCTCTTTTCCTTCACTGTTTATCTCTAAGCGACGTGATGTTTTTCTCAGAAGCAATGTTTAGAAAAATTTAGTTGTCCAGCGTTGTCAAACAATAGCTAATAGTGTTCGAAGGGGCAGCCCATTATGACCATATCGTGGCTGTCGCGACCATGTCAACGATATGAAATAGTCTGGATTCATTTTATTTTTTTTTGTACAGGGTCGGCATGGAAAATATGGAGAGACAGGAAAAGAAGGAAAGAAAGGTCCGCAAGGTCAACGTGGATATCCTGGATATATAAGATCAATCGTAAGTATATAGTAATAATATTTATATTAGCAAGAATAAACTAGTGTGTGAATGGGTGATTCCAGCTATAGGCTAAATTTTGATCAAGGCAAGAAGAACGATATCCATTACCATAGCTGGAAAGAGCATCTTAAAATGAGTAAAATTGCAAAGTTTGGTTGCGAATTGTTGTAAAATGAGGACAATATAGCCCTGTGAAGTTCGCAAATTTTGTATATGGCCTATTTGTATTACGCGCGAGAAAAATAACCACTTTCGAAATTCACAGGGCTATATTATCCTCATTTTACAACAATTCGCAACCAAACTTTGCAATTTCACTCATTTTAAGATGCTCTTTCCCGCTATGATAATGGATTTCGTAATTTTCGTTCTTCATGTCTAGATCAAAATTTCGTTTGCAGCTGGAATCACCCATTCTCTTTCAATCAGTTATCTTTTAATGTTATATATAGCGGTGGGTTAGGATAAACACAATTAAGAAATTGATATCACAATTGTTGTAAAAATAAAGGTATAATAAGCGTTTATTATATACACAAGGTCTGGATATGAGGTATTCTGCAATCTGATTGGTTCTCTACTAGTAGGATATTGTAGGATATTAGCTCATATCCTACTAGTAGAGAAAAACAAAATGGCGGCTCAAACTGAATTTCCGATTTTTGCGAACGAGAAAACGGCAAGTTGTTTGCTTTTTATAGCCTTTACAGGATTAAAAACACAATGAAAAAAACTCGCACAAATTGTTTACAGGTTAGCAAATGAATTTTTAAAATTTAAAATGGTTAAAAATATATATTTTTGAAGAAATAATCGGCCGAAAGAGCGAAGATAAAAACATAAACAAAAGAATAACTATAGAATAACTGTTAAATAATACTTGATGTAGCTAGAGCGCATTTGATCATATCCACATGTAAATTTGCGCTATATAGAAATGCTGGTCGTAGTCGTAAAATATTCTTACATATATACTGTATGTGGGGGCGGTTTTTTTATTTTACAGTTATTCACCGAAACGCAAATCGTTGAGATGAATATCCTTGCACTATTCACCAGTGACAGTGTTGTAACGAGTCACCTACAGGTCGAGTCACGAGTCGAGTCACTCAAAGCATAGTGCTCAAAGGTCGAGTCACGTACGAGTCGAGTCATTTCAGTTTCTGATCGAGTCAAGTTGAGTCAGCAGCTTCACTCGAGTCAAGTCGAGTCACTGGTTTAAGTCGAGTCGGGTCAATAGCAAGTCCACCCCACGTTTCTGTAATGGTTCGCTACCCTAACTTGCAGCCTGAAATTAGTAATCAAATCTACCTTTTAAGCTAATCACTTTAGTCATTTAATTAATAACAGTATCTGGGTAGCTAGGCTGTACCAATATCACAGTTCTAGTCGGTATTAAGTACGACCACATGAGATGTCCCATCATGCCTGCTGGTCGAGTGTACGTACATACAACTAGCATAACTTGCAACTGGAGTCAAAATTAACAAAAGAATAGACTTTAATTAATCACGCTTTGTAAGTCAATTTGAAATTATATAACACTTCATAAATACCAAAAATGAAAAGAGCCGGTCAGAATTAGTATAAGTACAAAAAATTTTGAGACTTTTAAAAACTGTGGAATTAGCGTTGTTTCTAAAAACAGAAATGTAATATTGGAATGTCCGTCAGGAATATATTCTATGCAAAACCCCCATATACAGTACTGTATTTTCTGATAAAGTTTTGAAGTTCTCATTGTTTACAACTTCACAGGGCTCATTGTTCTTCCCAAGCAATACAATCACAATAATTTTGATGAATTTATTCTGTACAAGTTGTAGCTGAGTTGACTCGAGTCATTTACGGCAAAAATCAGCAGTCGACTCCGAGCTGAGTCATTTGGGGCTGTTGACCGGAGTCAAGTCGAGCCATTTTTCGTATTGGACTCGAGTCGAGTCGCTGAAAATAACGGCTCGAGTCCGAGTCAATGACTCGACTCGTTACAACACAGTGTTGTGCTATTCACCCGCACTTATATGCTAAAACTTGTTACTCTTATTAATAGTTTATGTGCAAAACACAAAGGAAATGGTGCCCATACATGAGGGAGCAATATGCGATACGAATCCCGATGATTTACATAAACATTAAGTTCATTTTTCTCATCAAATATCGTGCATGTATATATGTAAGATTATTAAAGAATACGTATCACAAGACGAGTCCGACGAGCTATATATACAGTTTTTGCGTCCGTTGTACTAAAACAGAACAAACAGTAACAAAAACATAAAGCTCAATCTTTCGTCGATATGAATGAAAACATCTTCCACTAAATGTTAGAAGGGCAGGCTGTGCGGGTCCCTAGCTATGTAAAAGAATGGCTGACACAACATGTAGCGAGATGTACTTATTCAATCCGCACCATCCGATTATTCCTCATATACAACAAAGTATGAGAAAATAGCCAGCATAAGTACATAAGTCTTTGTATCCTTATTTTTTGTGTATTATATGAGTACCTTTCCTTGGTATGCTTATTGCTATAGGTTTCACTAGGCAAAATGATGACATTTAACTCTTAAGGCATACTGCTTGTTTGGGCCAGAAATTTAGCAATGATACATGCATCGGCCCGAAGAACATCATGAACAACATCATGGGCTTACATCTATATGGTGCAGAGCGTCGGATAAAGTATTCTCTATAGGGAGTTTTTAATAATCTTCACTGCAGATTCGAACATTCTTGGCAAAATTTTCGTTGAACGTTTTCGTTTCATATTTTCTTTCTTGCGTCGAAAGAATAATTATGTATTTCAGTTTTAAAACAACAAGTTCACTTACTCTTCATTGCTTGATACTGTAAAATTTTTCTTTGCCTGGCGTTTGGCGTTTGACGTATAACGCGAAGCTTAAACTCCCTATTTTCATAAGAACCTGGGCTGTGTACAACGTTTATTTGTAGGTTCCAGTTAGCTCAACCACGTGAGCAAAGTAACTATTTTTACTGTTCATCCTTAGAATCTTAGATGCAAACAACGAGATATATTTCAATAGTACATCCACACTATTTACATAGTATATCCATAGCAAGGAAATGCAATTAGTATGGTTATATTGGATTTCCATACTATTTGCAGCTACGATCTATACGGGAGATCATCGTATTTAAGGATTTTATTTGAATGGAAGACTGGGTAGTATTTACATTACCAAAATGCTTAGCCTTTGCATGGTATAGGAAAACAATAAAACTCAGTTGAGTAGGAAGAAACGGACAATGTATTGTAATTAACATTATTATATCTTCCATCCTAGACATTTAGTTCAATGGGTTCAGATAATAAAGGACCCGGTCCGAATGATCAAAATCAAATATTGATACCGGTAAGTAAGAGAGACATCCTAAAACGGAAAGAATCTTTTTTACGTAATTATTTCATGATTGGATTCTTAGGTTTTTACATGCATTGTTTTTTTACATGGTGCCATCTTCATTCGGCGTTACATCAAAACCACCCGACACAGATAAAATACTGCTCAGTGAGACTCTTAAAGGTCCTTAAAGAGTTCGCAGAATTTTCTCGTCTCACAACTTCACAACCTCGAATTAAGTCATTTTTCGCCCTATCATGATCCCTATACCAAAATGAACATAATTTCACGTCCCGCAGAACTTATTGTAGATCAACATGGCTTTCGTGTGGCATTGTTTTTAATATAAAATGTTCACCAAAAATTGCTATCCTCCATTATATGTACAGATTAAATACAAGGCACAAAACGTTATTTGCCTCAAATTAATAATTACCATAAATATAAACACATTTGTCTTTACACTTCTAGCCTCCTCGTGCTGGCCCACCTGGTCCAGAAGGAAAACCAGGAATGCGTGTAAGTTTAGAATTTCCTAAATCCTTCATGTTTACATGTTCATCGTTGACAGGCCTTCAGCCTTCTTTTCAAAAGGGGCAAGTTCTACTGCATTTCTGCAAACGATCTGCAGCTCTATATATATTGAAGGATTAAGCCGTCATGGTTCGTCTTCACAAGCCTGGACACTATAAACAGAGGATTGCGAGCGAAGATCTTCCTTCAGTGGAATTAGTTTAAAAGTAGCGTTCCTGAGGAGGGATTTTCGCCGAAAAGTAGCGACTCTCTGGAATCGAATGCCTTCGCTACAGAATCCTCTTTCACGCTAACGAGTCCGCAATGTCATCATGGGACTTCAGTGGCGCAATCGTCAGAGCATGCGCCTTTCACCTCTGATATCGTGGGTTCGATTCCCGTTGTGGACGTTATGATATCCACGTGAAAAGAGTGAAAGTCAACGCTCTGCCGAAAGTCGTGGGTTTTCTCCGGGTACTCCGGTTTCCTCCCACAGGGAAAGTTGACAGGGTTGGTTGGGATTATCCCCTAAGCTGGGATTAGTCCTAAACTAACCCTTCCATCGTAGCTATGCTCTGTGATCAGACATGAGTCATAAGGTGCCTGCCAGAGGTGCCCCTAGAAAACCTTCTACTCGATCACGTTGAGCTGTGTCATTCGCAATTCAGCTTAGCTCTCAGCTGCAAGTAAGGATAATAAGAA